ATGCATGCGGTGGCGATGCGTTCGTTGAGATTCATGTCGCCATATGCCCTGGAATACTACTGGTAAAGTTCCCGTCCAGAATGTGCGAGAACTGGCATGATTTCCGTCACGAATGTGCGAACAGATGCAAGAACCATTGAAGATGGAGACCGACTGAAGGCTGTACGCAAAGGATACATCCGCCCAGAGGGAGAGATACAAGGCCAGCATTCTATGAAAGCAAGGTCGCATCTGTCGCACGTGCTAGCCAGGGGACAATCAGAAGTTCATCTGCGCGATCCACGTGGGTGAGCGATTCAGACGTCTGCTTTCCGCTGTCGCCTAGCAAGTCGAAATCCGAGCCTGTGGATCGTAGATTCCGAGGGCATGCGTTTAAAAGTGTTCTTGCTTAGGACTGGAAGAAGATGATGGTGATTTCTGCCTCGTGAAGAGAATTCTTGGTAAGGTGCGGGTGGACCTTCCGCTTCAAAAGAAGCCACGGAGGGTCAACAGCAGCTTTTCTTGCTCGGCAGGGCGGACACAACATGCGCAACATAGCAGACGCGTGCAATGCCAAGGCCCACTTGCTGTAGCGCAGGGCTTCCTCCTCTTCTTCTTCTGCTTCTTCTTCTTATACTTAATATTATGATTATTAATGTTATTGTTATTGTTATTCTTATTGTTATTGTTATTGGTATTGTTGTTGGTATTGTTATTGTTATTATATGGGCAAGCGCCGCAAGCTGCGATAAGAGCAGGTACGCCTGCGTGGCAGGGGCAGTGGCTTCCTCGAAGGCGTCAACGGTTTAGAGGTACGGAGAGCACGGAGATGGGTTTCGTTTCCCTAAGGGTCCATGTACCCATATAGTGTATTCTTGGGTCCTAAAAGCTATTATGTGAGAACCCCGTTAAGGCGCAAGTATACACTATATAGGCACATGGACCCTTAGGGATTTGTGATGCAGTCTGGCAGCAAGGAATGGCAACAGCTTTTTGCAGGCAGACAGGCCCTTGCAGCTTAACGTCAGCTGCACGGACTTTTCAGACTACGCCAGTGCCTTAGAAGTCGCTTCGTCCAGCTTTGCATCACCTGTTGTTGACACCGCTACTACGCCACAAGATCCTGACACCATAATTGCCTGCAGGCACTCAAGAGTATCGCATCAGCTCATGTAACGGCAACCAAGTTACAAGTAGCCGCCAGCTTGAAACAACCGTCCTCGATCTGTCGGCCGGGCCCCGTGTTCAGGCGTCTGCTGTGGCGAGCGTGGCAGCCCAAGAAGGTTTGTGCCGCGTGCTATAGATATCTACAACGACGGAATGTTTGTTGACGACAAGCCCTGAAGAATGTGCCATGCGCTGTTGCTCTCGCAGTACCAGTGTAAAGGCGGGGGAGGAAGGAAGTCACAGTAGTAGTCGTTGCTAGTGGCCGGTGACCCTTAGGCATCACGAGCCCACTCCGGATTTGGGTAAACGGCTTGAAACAATGCCTCTAGCAGACCCCGCTGACAACTACACGTGGTTTTGGATGTTCATACTGAAGTTCTTAGCATGATTCTCTATTATTCACCGTGATTGTTCTCTTATTTCTCAAGCTTATGATATGTGTTTTTCTTGTTTGTTGCACGGAAGCCACCAGCTGTAAACCGGCGGCCTCAGCAACGCACGAGAGTCGACCAACAAATGGGCAGCGGACGTGGCCAAAATGGACCCCCAGAATCCGCTTTTCTCTGCCAGCAGCAGCTTGTCAACGCCCACATCTGGTATTGGTCGCAGCAATGGAATACTTCTCAAGGCGTCCCTGCACAGAGTCCCCAGCGACACTAGGACGATTGTTTTGTCTGAGGCAGCGTTTGCAAACCGGATTCCGACTACCAACATTGGCTCCATGCTGAGAATGAAAAAACCTACATGACGACAATGCAAGTCCAAAAGTAGGGTCGGCAGGGCAGGTGAAAATTATGGAGTCATTGCGAAACCGAGTTCATCAGAAGCGACGAAATTATTTCAACAAGTTTTCATTGATGACGCTGAACTGGAACTCGCCGCAGCCGAGCCGCCTCGTGAACCGTGCAGTGATGATGCCAAATATTAAGAGAGACGTGCCCGCCTGTTGAAGCTCAGACACGGTGATTCCGTTTCCTCTTGCTACCAGGGCAATGTCACGGCATCTGTTAGGAGAGGAGAGCTAGGGCACGCCGGCTAAGTGCTACTAGTCATTATTGCAAGTAAGCGTCGGTTTTTCTCAGTGCGGTTGTGTTACGGCGACTCGCATTAAACATGTGGATGGTGGGCCCGGCCCGCCACAGAGGTACGTAGAAGGAAATGTCTTTTCGAAGTTTCGTGCATTTAATGCCTGCACGTTTAAAAGTATCTGGGGCAAAGAGCCTTACCACGTCGTAGCCAGGACGCTGTGGAATAGGATGACTTCGAGGGTTTAGGCCTCTAATGATGAGCGCATGGGCCTTTTGAGGCATCTTGGGAAACGAACCACAAACATCCCTACGACAATGTCGCAGGACGATTTCGGCTTTGGAAAAGCCAGACGCCCTTGTAAACATCTGAAAAGGATACAGTTTTATTTCGCGGGCCTCGAAGGCTACCGCTGCTGTATACAGATAGTAGTAGTAGTAGTAGTAGTAGTAGTAGTAGTAGTAGTAGTAGTAGTAGTAGTAGTAGTAGTAGTAGTAGTAGTAGTAGTAGTAGTAGTAGTAGTGGTGAATAAACAGGCCTGGAAATCGACGACACGAATGTGTCATACTTACCTCCAAGGAAGGGAAGTGGGCAGGACCCCCCAGCTCGGCTGCTGCAACAACCAACCCCTTTGTCTCTGACGGCAGCACGTCACCACCATTTGCTGAAGTTTCACGACACATCTCGTGGCAGCACCCAGGTTGCTGCTTTGCTTGCAGATCTCCACAAACACTACAGGCCTGGATTTTCACTCATCCCCCGACCTTCAAGGATCGAGTTCCGAAAGCCTCCCCTGCAGGCGATACGTCCGCTCCATGTGCATGGAGCCGCCACGTGCCAGCTGCTTACAACCTTGAGGGTTTTAGGGTTGAGGGTTTAGGGTTTTAGGGTTTAGGGTTTAGATTAGGGTCTTACAACCACCTACGAGGGCTTCACAGGCTTGCAGCAGCAGGGCATGCGCGAGCAGGCGGGTTTCGTCGTGGAGGAAATGCGGCGCGACGATCTCCGCATGGACCAGATGATGCCAAAGGCTGGGGTCTCGTACACCTCCCAAAATTGGGATCATATACCCTCTACTACCATACTTCCTGTTAAGGTGTGTGAAAAACCCTCTTAGGGTTCATTTAGTGCCCAAGAAATGAGCTGAACATTTTGAAATGAGTTGCAGCAGGCGCCTCGGCCTCCGAAGGCGACATTTTTGCCATCGCCGCAGGAGGCTCAGACCGAGATGAATGCCCCGCATTCATGACAGGCGAATTCTTTTCAGTGGGTTTAAGATTTAGGCTGTTCGGATGCAAAAGGGGTTAGGATTTATAGGGTTTAGCCTCAAAGTTCGTTGACCAAAAAGGGTTTAGAGTTTATAGGGATCATCGTGGCACCGATTCCGCGTGGTGCCTTGGGCTGCCGACGCCCGCAGTCCTTGTATGATTTGCCAGGGTCTCTGACAAAGGCCCAAAGCGCGCGATCCGTCGCCTGGAGAGGGACTTCCTTTGCAGTTTATCGGAGCCCCCGGCCGGAAGCTAAGCTCAGGGCGGCCTAAAGTTGAATGCTGCCGCCATCTTTTGTTGCTGTTGCTTTGACTCTCTCTTGTTAAACAGGGGCACTTGTGATGACACGTGGTCAGGTGATGACTCCGAGGGTGACTTGCCGACACCCAGGCGCATGTGATGTTTGCACGGATACGCAACATATGATCTGTAACGTACAATTTGTCTTTGTCATAGTTGGGTGCCATTTTACATTCTTAAGGGTACTTAAACCCTAGAAGCCTATAAGGAATAACAAATAAATGTATACATATTCTCCCAACCATGCGCTGGGGTATGAACATGGAGGCACACCGACCTTCCGCTCGGTGTGGCAGCGGGCACAGCAGCAGTCAGAGCGCTGGTTGGCACGCAGCATCGGCCGTCTCATGGAAGATCAAAGGTCCCAACCACTCCCGCCGAACGCAGAGCTCTTGTGAGGGCAGGCCAGGCCGAACGTAACATGAGCCCATTTCTACCAGCGCCTCACACACAGTGGTATCGGGACCTCTGCAATCATTGGCCCCCAGGCGGTGGCGCTCGGGCTGGAGCCCTGGTCTCTGCTGCTGCCCGCGAGGCACAGAGTCGGTACCTGAGTCTCACAGCGCGCCGGTTCTCAAAATTGGGGTTCAGGGTTTGGTTTTGGCTTTTGTAGTTTTTGTTGTTGGGAGAGGGTTGGGGGAATGTTTATTCCCATCCTGAGGGGGAGAGAGGGGGGAAACATCCACATGAACTCTAAAATTGGGGTCATATGCCCTCTGTTTAAGGCATATGAACCATGAACCCTTTCGGTCCCTGGGAAAGACCCACACCCCCGCTTCAACGCCTTTTGCAGAGGCAGGGTTTAGGGTTTAGGGTTTAAGGCTATAGATTTGCAGTACCCATGAGTTGCAGAGATCTATGCTTCCCTCAACTCAGGTGCCGAACGCAGACGCCAGAGATTGGCCAAGGAGTCCAAAAACCAGCGCATTCAGGACCCATCCACCGGCAAGCGCGCAAAAGCTTGGTACCTGGGGACCAGATGATTCCTTGAAGGGTTCATGGTTCTTTTACCTTCATAGGAACTATGGAGTACAATACAGGTAGAGGGTATATGATCCCAATCTTGGGGTTCCTTTGGTCCCCAGTTTAAGGCGTCAGTATGCGACAGCAAAGTGCAAACAATGCTAAGGGATGCTAAGGGTTTAGGGAGTTCAGGGAGTTTAGGGTACTCGTACCTTTGCCCCCCTTGCAGCTTGCTGCTTTCTTGGCTTCAGATTCTGCAGGATGACTGGGAGAGAGTTGCACGCAAGCCAGGTCGAAATGTCCGGGCACCCAGCGGATGCGATGGACGTCCGCCCTTGGTTTCATTGGGATGCCGAGGCTCCTCGTGGATCGGGCATGCTGACGCGACATTCCGGAGATGTCGGCAACCTATCCCCGTACATGCGTAGTTGCGGTGTAACTGCTGCCCACCTTACGCGTTGTGATGCCAGACAAATGCGCAGAGGCCCAAGTCACCATGGCGCCTGGTGGGGCGCCGATTGGGGCATATCCTCCCAGTGGCAGTCTTACAAGTCAACTGCGAGTGGCATTGCGGAACAGTGGCTGCGACAGCGAACAAGCATCCAAACAACATCATCCCACATCACATTGTTCTGCACGGGGCTTTGGACATTTACCCTTGTGCACGTTATGTCTGCAGCCCAGGCTTGGGTAAGAGCAAGGGCAAGGGCAAAGTGAAGCGCAAAGACGTGGATGAGCACATGCAAGGCAAGAGCAAGGTCAACGGCAAGGGCGAGGTCAAAGGCAAGGATGCAGCCACAGTCAAGGGCACGGAAGTCGGTAAGGCTAAGGGTAGAAGCGCCGGCACGGACGACAAGGATGTCCCTAAAGGAAAGGGCAAGGGAATTGGTCAGCTCAGAGTCGAGGACGCTATCAGCGGCAGGGAGGTCATGGGCAAGGACATGGCCGAAGTCAAAGGCAAGGGAATCGGTAAGGCCAAGGACGAGAGAAGCGCCAACGGCAAGGGCAAGGATACAGTCGAAGCAAAGGGCAGGGGAATGGGTCAGGTCAAGGGCGAGGACGATGTCGATGTCAAGGGCAAGGATGTGGAGGAAGACGGTGAGGCCAAGAGTGAAAGAAGTGCCAAGCAAGGTCAGGAAAAGGGTGAGGACGATATCCGCGGCAAGCAAGTCAAGAGCAAGGACATGGCCGAAGTCAAGGGCAAGGGAATCGGTAAGGCCAAGGACGAGAGAAGTGCCAACGGAAAGGGCAAGGATACAGTCGAAGTAAAGGGCATGGGAATTGGTCAGGTCAAGTGCGAGGACGATGTCGAGGTCCAGCACGAGGACGTGGCCGAAGCTACGGGCAAAGGAATCGTCAAGGCCAAGGGCGAGAGAACTGCCAGCAGAAAGGGCCATAGGCACACAGCCGACGTCAAGGATAAGGGAGTCGGCAGGGTCCAGGACCAGGATGCTGACGAAGTCACCGACATAGAGGACCACGTCACCTTCAAGGACGACGTCGCCAATGTCAAGGGCGAGAAAAACATCAAAGGTCAGGGCAAGGGCAAGGGAAAGGGCATGGATGCTAAGGCCAACATCAAGGGCGTGTCGACAACCTTCTCGCAAGCCAAGTGCGCCACTGACGCTGAGCCACCGTCACCAGTGTCGACGACAGCAACAGCGGAGCATTTGTGGGCATCTCCCGGCAAGGGGTCGTGCGTGTCAGCCACGAGCACTTGCGCATCCCCAGACTTTGCATCGTTGAAGGAGATGGGAGCGGCTTGTGCTCGAGCCGAGGCTCTTCCGCAGCACCGCTGGCTTGCAGCCTCAAAGCAGGAATCCTGCACATCCCTGCCAGGGCCTCCCATAGACCTTGCATGGACAGCTGCTCTAGAGCAGGCTCTTCATGGACCCTTAGACGACTCCTCGAAGCAAGACCTCGGACCCCAGCTACGCAGTCAAAGCCCCGGCGCAGCCAAAACCCGATGGGCCAAGCATCGGCGTGAACAGCGTGGGAACCACCACGAGTGACCCACAAAGTCACATGGAAGGAGCGCTTCGCTGTTTGGCCTCCTGGCGTGTTGGCTTCGCAGCTTGTTGGGCTTCTTAGCTTCTTGGTTTTCTGCCTTTTCCGGGCTCGTTCAGAATCGAAGAAGTCAGTTCAAAGGAAACTACGGAGACCGCAGCACAGTGCAATCGGCAGAGTCAAGCCCAAAGCCATGTCTGCGTCGACAAAGAATAGCACGGCACTTTCGGAAGGAGTATGCTGCATCAACATGCAGCGGCGATACCAGCACTGTTGCAAGTGAGCCTCTGCTTTCCATGTTAACCTTTTGGAAACAGACTGGAAACGGAACCCTGACAAGAACCTTGCGGTTGTCGGCGGCTATGATTTCCATATTTAGAACCATTTCTTTTTTGCAATGCTTCAGCATGCTCACTCTCGTGGCAGGTAATACGTGTGGGGGAATCCAAAGATCCAACCACTTCTTTCCCAGCAACAAGTGCACTTCGCCATACGACTCGGAATTTGTTAATACCTGTGGGCTGCTGGACAAGTGTGTGTGGAATCCCTAAACCCTAAACCCTAAACCCTAAACCCCACTCCCTGCAAGGAGTGACGGGAGTGGCGGGAACCCATCTGGCATGACTTCATGGAAGTCCCAGATGAGGCCGCATCCTGGGCAGCCAAGAATTTAGGAGTTAGGGCTTAGGGGAATGCACGAACCGTTTCTGGGTGTGTGTGCTGCGTTTAGGGTGCCTTTGTTTTGCCAGCCACATTTGCCACATGTCGATTTTGCATGATCCACTGCGTACCTTCGGTGCCACCCGTAGAGGCCTCATATCCACCAACGAGTTCGGGCACGACTTGGCTGCTGCTTTTGCAGCCACAGGCTGTCAAGGCTAGCTTCACCGACATCGTGTCTCACAGCATGAATTCAGTTTCTCTCAGACACCGCCCAGCCGTCTCTGACCGCAGCCACCGAAATAATTATCAAGTTGGCCTGAGCATGCCTCAAGGTTTAGGGTTTAGGATTTAGGGTTTAGGGTTTAGGGTTACAGACTTGGAGCTACTTCCAGAAGTTATGCCACACTTGGGGCATGTTCCTTCGCATGTTCTCCAGATTCACATGCAAAGGATGCAGGCCAACAGAATGCGAGTTTCACTCTAGACTCTACATTTGTTGTTGTGACTGTGCGGGATGGTGGCCAGAATGCTCCTTTTGGCAGACGACTGCAGGTGCAGGTTGATTTCGGTTCGCTCACACCATCCGAATTGCGCAGATGCGCTGTTTGTCTTAGCTGCGCTTGCAGGCTGTCGACAGAACCCGTCGGCCCTGAATTCCCTCCATGCCTTCGCAGCTACATTGTATTTCAAGAAGGGCTCCCAGATACAGACTGAGTCTTCAAGCGAGGTCGAAGGATGTGTGAAAGGGATTGCTGTGCCTTTAACCTGCTTCGGATGAGCATTCGCCCTCGGGGGGGCGGGGGGGTGGGAATGGAGGGGGCGGAGGGGGGAAGGGTGGAGGGGGAAAAGGAGCGGAGGGATCTGACCCAAAAGTGTCCTGTTCTTTCAATGCCCGTGACGACAAAACGGCACTAGAAGCAAGAAGAGTGGTGTCAATATTAACATGTATCAGAATACGAGAATACTAAAACAAATACATAGACTATAATGCTCTACTGCTATGATACTCTTGTGTTTGTCCATAATATCATAATACTATCGGACTATAGTACTAGGATACTATAGTACTATAATGCTGCACTACTATAAGACGATCAACATCAACATACATGACCAACATCATGCATTTCTTTAACAATAAAATCATGTCAACAATGATCACATCGTGATAGTGTGATATGCGAATAGAATACAGTACTCTAATACGATCATATCATGATAATATAATCTTGTAATCGTGCAATTGTAGAATCGTAGAGAGAATGCAATAGCAAGATGATGTGGCATCCTACTTTTTCAAAACAAAGACAGAATCAAAAAAACGGGCTTGCCTTGAAGCCTCAGGTGGATCTACTACCCCAGTGACTCCTCTCAAGAACTCATGAACATGTGGTTCCAAATCTGGCGCTTGGGAACAGATCTCCACTCCCTAATGCGTGCGCCGTATCTTCAAGGCTAGGCTTTGCGGATGCCTGCGCCGATTCCTCCATCAGCCTGGGAGGTTTTGTTTGACTGGCAAACAGCTACTGTATGACTGTATGATTCCAGAATAAGTTCGTACAGAAAAGTAGTTCTCGGCGCAAGGTTTGCCTGCGATGTTCTGGTTCCCTCCTGAGAGTTCAGCAGTGTGCTTTTGCAGGCACGCAACCTGTCGGCTGAATTGTTGCGAATTTCGTTCGTTTCAGCAGCATGAACATCGTTAGATGAGGGGAGCTCCTTGTCCAGTGAATCACACAAGATGCACATCGGCTGTCTTGCTGGCGTCAGCGCAGCAGCAGTATGTAAGCAGCCATAGTCAAACTGTTGAATATGTCACTCCTTGTTGCACTTCAAGCAGCGAAGTCTGTGTCTCCACTGCGAGCCATGTTGCCAGCTGCTGCAATCCGCACATTGTTTGTGTGGAGGACTCAGGCAGCCTTGTTCTACGTATCGAAACGCAAGTTCACGGGCTCGCGGGGCCTGCAAGATCCTGCAGTTGCTGCGCCGCCAGAAAGTCTGCCATCAGAATCCAGAGCAACTTGAAGCAGCCCTGCGAAGACCACTTCCTCGACGTTAAACCCAAGGGGCCCGCGTTACGAAAGAGTGTTTCATCGAAGTCTTAGGGTTTTCCCAGAAACAACTTGCCCAAAAAAGTGCCGATGCACTGTGCTGACCCGGCAGCTAGGCAGCTTTGCCGTTGGTCCCGGTATGGCAGATGACTTCGTGCTCGTGAACTGTACACTACAGGCTTGCCCAGTTCCGAATGTTTGCCAAAACAACGTCGCCCAAATTATGTTGCCCAGGTCGTGCTCGCTCCAGCTGTGGGGTCTGTTTACGGCGTCGGAGGAGGCTTGGATAGTTTCTATGTATTCCTCGCAGTGCCTATCAGGTCCTTGCATATGTCTGGTGTGTAAATTGTGTGGTCCGGAAAAGCTTTTGCCGGGGATGTTTAACTTTAGTTGAGAATAGGCATGTATCACTCTGGCATACAATCCCCAACCAGCAGATCCTACGACCTCCGTACGGCGTCCTTTCCTAACTTACGGTCTACCCATGACGAGGAAGCAGATTTGTTTGGCATGTCCTTCAAGTCAGTCAGTAAGACAAGGAGATTTTGACGGACCCTGGCCTTTCTTTGATCCCTAGCCTTTGCTATGAGCCTTTGCTCCCCTAAGTTTGCTAGCTTTCTGCACTTTATGCTGTTTTTAGGCAGCAAAGGGACGTTCTTTGTGGGGCATGTGGGCTGACGGAGTTGCATTCCTTTTTGGTTCTGGGGGGGTTGGTGCGTGGGACCTGGGTGGTGCCCCGAGCGAACCTTTCAAGGGTTTGACTACTACCACTACTACTACCACTACTACTACTTCTACTACGACTTCTACTACTACTACTAGTACTACTACTACTACTACTACTACTACTACTACTACTACTACTACTACTACTTCTACTACTACTACTACTACTACCATTACTACTACCACTACTACCACTACTACCACTACTACTACTTCTTCTTGTTGTTGTTTCGACGCCTGCAGGCTGCCAAAGCTTTGCGGCCATCAGCGTGTCCAAGCGCATGTGATACCATGCCATACTACAGCGTCGGATAGTGCAGTAATGCAGCCTCGAGCAGCTGAGTTGTGGTGGCCCCAAAACGGGGCTGGAACCAGTCCAGTCCTGGCTCATGCGCAGAAGATTCTTTGGTTTGCAGTGAGCCCGGATAAGCTACAGCAAACACAGACTCTGGGTGTATGGTTCTGTGATACTTTACTGACACCCACACTTTGGAAAGGTGAGGGGCATTGGGGTAGGGAGTGACTACGATGTGTGGAGCCGTGCTTTTGTCAGAGCGGCGTACCGAGCTGTGTCATGTCCGGTTATGACAATGCCACTCTTGATGCTTTACCACAGTACATCAGCCGCCCACCCAGCTGAGCTGCGCAGTGTCAAAACCAAAAGCCAAGAGCTTGTGTATGCCCATCATCACCCTTTACCCACCAGCTACTTAGGTCCATTTCGTGGCCCATCAAAGATGATCATGATGCCCAATGGCGCTGTTGCATGCAAACCTGCTGAAGTTCACTTACGTGACATCTGGCTCCACAGGCATCCGTGCAACTCCAAAGCACAGCCAGACGACGATGCCAGTTTGACTTCAGACAACTAGTTTCCACCGAGCTAGCCAAGAGGCACACTCCGACAAGCGCGTCGCGAGACACCTAAAGCAAGTCGTTCGCACCTCCACACCGTTAGATGCACCAATGCAAGCCAGCACTGTAATCGCCAGTTCGTTTTACCCTGCAGCAATTTGTGGGCAGTTCCTCTGGGTTTAGCCCGCACCTCGTTGAGCACCGCCTTGCATGCGCTCTGTGCGTGTGTTGACTTCTTTCCTGCAACGCTTCAGTGGTTGCACCTGCAATGAGGCTGCACTCGGCAGTCCTTCTTCGGAAGGCCGGTTGCAGTGTGCAGACAGAAGCATGAGACAGCAACGCCATTTTTAGATGGGGGTCCTTTCGTTCTGTTCATAAGTTGAAGATCGAGAGGCAGGGTGCACCATCCAGGGTCGCTGACCCGGTAGCTGCAGGCACGGGAGTGCGTAAAGTTATCCCAAGTGCTTGCGTGGGGGACGATCAATGTTCTAGGAGACGGTGTCGCGCAGGTGAGCGCCCGGCAAAGCCTGCGTAAGCCTGTGCAGCAAATGTCGAGTCTGTAAGCCCAATCTAGCCCCGAAGGCCTGAAGAAAGAACTTGAGCCTCTCTTGCAGGTAATTTGACCAATTTGCTTCTGCGCAGCTGCCATGACCAGCCCTCCGAAGGCTCGATTTGATTAGGTTACAGCAGCTTCACATGGTAGGTGCAGTACCTGAAAGACCGGTGCATACCGGTGCGTAGAAGGCAGTTTTCAGCAGTAGGATGCCAAGGTTGAAATCAGAAAACATTCTGCACGTTGGGCGAGATTAAGCACTGGGAGCGCAGAATGTCTTCTGGCTCCTAGTTGTTGCAGGTCCTTGAAGAGGACGGAGCGCACGTCGGCTCAGGAAAGGCAGTTGGCCTCAGAACGACTGAGAAGTTCAACCAAGTAGGAGATCCTGATTCGAATGGTTCGGGTTAGGTCGCCCACGAAGACTGAGGCGGGTGTTGACTCGGTACAGACCACAGACGTCGGCGATGCTGAGTCAGCCACCCTGCAGATGATGTCTCCGCCGGTTGCATCCATATCTCATTCTGAAGATGGCACTGTGCTTTCTAAGTCTCACTGCCACTGCGTCACTGGATGAGTCGGCAGCCAGCTGCTTACAGCGGGTTGAGGGTTTAGGGTGTAGGGTTGAGGGGTTTAGGGGTTCAGGGCTTAGGGTTACCTGGCAGAGTCACAGCAGGCCAGATGCAAAAAGGGCTTAGGGTTTAGGATTTAGGGTTTAGGGTTTAGGGCTTTTTCAGGCAGAAGCTTCCAAGTCTGCTTTCAGGCTGCCAGCGCCGCTAATTGGCCTGGCTTGGGAGGCCAAGCGTTGGGTCCGCATGGTTGTTGAACCGTGTTGCACGAATTTCCATGTCCAGTAGTATTCGATCATTGTATTCCTTTCTAATGCTTTACACATTATTGTGAACTGATCGGAAGTGATTGCAGAAACATCGCCGGAGCCTCCAGCAAAGACTAAGCCCGCGCAGCTCGAAGCTGAGTTTGGGGTCTGCCTTAGCTTCGCACCTGGCTCAACGAGTGCTTCCGTGATGATCGTGATGATTGGTTCCAAGGCCTAAAGTGCAGCCAGAAAGCGAGAGTCAGAAGCGCGGCAAGCTTAGAGCAAGTCCCAGCAAGTCGGCTCGAATACCTAAGAGAGCAAGGTCGTGGGACTTCAGCAGCAGTGGAAAATCCTAAACCCTAAACCCTAAACCCTAAACCCTAAACCCTAAACCCTGCATTTTCTGATGAGGTGTTGCACCAAAGCCCTTGAAGGCACAACTTTGGCATCCGGGGCATCTGCCATGCAAGGAGAAGGAAAGGGGCTTGAAAGCAATGTCCTCGCAGGCGCTGACTTTTCCGCGTGTTGTTCCAGCCAGCGAGATCATGGAGGACCGGCTCTGCTTACTTGGAGGTTCATGGTACTTATTAACCGGTTATAGCTGTACTTATAACCCACTTATAAGCCCCTCAAGTGCCCTAATATGGTTATCAGTACAGTTATAAGTACAGTTACCCTAAACCCTAAATCCTAAACCCTAAACCCTATAAGTACAGTTATAAGTACAGTTATAAGTACAGCTATAATTGGTTAATGCGTACCATGAACCTCCAGGTAGGGTCAAGTGCGGCCATGCAAAACCCTAAACCCTAAACCCTAAACCCTAAACCCTAAACCCTAAACCCTAAACCCTAGAGGAAACGGATGACGAGTTCCTCTTTTGTGGGCCGCATTCTCACTCGGAGGAGCCCGGCGCCTAGCACTTCCCAGAGCCTTCCTTAGGGTTTAGGGTTTAGGGTTTAGGGTTTAGGGTTTTGGGTTGCAGGGCCTAGGGCCGAGAGTCTCGCGAGGTCAGTTCCTTCAGAGATGTATCTCATCAAGGCCGCGTAACCCTTAGTCTGCGCAGCAGGAGGAAACATGGCAAACAAACCTGCGAACTCAAGTCCTTGACGTGGCAAACTAAGTTGCATGAAGCATCTTTCAAAGACTTCTCATCATCAAACGAACATCAACTTTGGGAGGCATGGACACTGGGACCCTATGAAGAAGACACGCAGAGGACGGCCTCCTAATTGAAATTGGGAAGACGTCGTCGGTGAAAGCTACAGCTCAAGAGTGACACCTGGAGAGGAAACGACGCGAGCGCAGAGAAGAGGCGGGGGGCGCACGTAGCAACGTCTCCAGTTATGCTGCCTCATGTGCTCGGCCCTTGGCCTTAGATAGCCTGTGCGGGTGCGTTTACGATCATGGCTGCGCGTGTATTTCCAGTCTTGCTGGCAACATGTTTGCCCTCATTGTGCAGGCCCTTTATGTGCGAGTTGTTATTCATGCTGAATGTCGGGTGGCACCAAGCTCAATCAAAATCAAAACAAAAAAGCCAGCAAAGGCTGTGATACAACGACAGCTGCGTTCCAACTCGAAGGTAGCATAAAAAGCTGAATACAGGCGTGAACGCCTCAAGCCTGCACCTTCTACAGGGTCTAGGTTTTTTGGTTTCCATTGCCATCCCAGGAAAGGAAAGTGCAACCCTCAGCCTCTAAAAGCCATACTGACTAGAGCGACTCCATGGGAGGCTGCCCGGAGAGGGCTGCACTCGTTGATTCTGCCCCAGGGAGAAATCGAAGGCAGGGCTGGGCCAGCGACGAGAAGCCTCTTGCAAATGGGGTCGTGGGTTTAAGGTTGAGCCACACATGACTCACCCACCCGCCTTCGCCTTGGCTGATCACGCAGGGGAGAACCAGAAGTACATCTGTGTCTTCCAAGTGGGCCGGGGCTTCAGCTTCTCTAGGAGTTAGAGCTCAGCACTGCGCAGTTTGGGAGACTTGTCGGCTCTGTAAGGGTTTGGGGCTTCTGTGCTCACTCAGGATTGGAAGATGACGAAGAGTTCTGCCTTGTCAAAAGAATACTTGGCAAGGCCGCCACGTTCTGCGGCGGAATGGCTGCAGTCCGACAGCATGCCAGCACCCTTCGCCAGTACTGGCACAGACGATGCTAACCACAATCACAACATTTATCAGCAAAGCAGAACCATGTAAAATAGCAGAAACACGAACAAGAACCATACTAAAAGCACTCAGAATGGTACAGTATCAGCACCAGGTTCGTACGGTTCCCGTGCAGTGGTGGGAGCGACTGGGTACATGGGCCCATATGGGCCCATCACGTGGTCTATTCGTCAGTTTCTCCTTATGTACTTCGGGTTGATCAGCCGCATTTGCATATATTGCAGCAGCAGGTTCGGTGGTTCGGTGCAGTGACCTTTGGATTGGCCAGTGTATGAACAAACAATAGCGCACGTCCACAGCGCACACTGCGGAAGCTGCATTCTGTGACAGCTGTGCACGATGCGCAGCCCGTGCTGTGCTCCTTTCAGAGAATGAAGCAGCTGTGACAGTTCATGTGTTGGAGGCCGGGAACAACATGCGACGAATAGCTGATGAGTGCAACGCGAAGGCAGCATGGGGCACGTCCTGAATTGCAGTGTTTGAGCAGCTCTGGCAACCCTCCACCCTAAGCCTTTGAGGCCTGCTATGTCGTGGATACACCTAACCCGCAATCCCAACAGAACAACATGCAACGTCACGAAAGAACTGGCGAGGTCCGCTTGCGTGGCATTGGCAGCGGATTTCTGGAAGGCTCTGATGGCACAGAGGTGCTTCAGCAGCCATACTTTTCGGACACCCTCCTGTTAACGATTAGATGCAGGAATGATGCCTCATGATGCGTCCGCAGGCCAACATGCCCCTACAGCTCAATGTGAGCTGTACGGAGTACCCAGACTATGTCGGAAAGCCCAGCATGAGTGCAAGCACGGGAACTCACATGGCAAGCTGCGCACTTGGCGTGAACGTGTTCTGACAAGGTACACGCTGTTGACCAGGTGCTGGTGCTTAGTGGGGGGTGACTCTGCGATGTGACTAATTAACCCTGGCACCATGGTGTTGTGAAGTTTCAGGATGGTTGAAAGTCTCCATTCCACTGCGCACCCGGAAGCGCGCCCTGGAAACCCAGGGCACATGCCACGCTCGCAAGCACTACAAACAAATGCCTGCGCACTGGCCTCCTTGGAGGACGTGGTTTCATTAGTCCTTTGCACACTAGTTGCGAATGGATATCCGAGCTTGCCAGCACATTGAAAAGTAAGAAGAAGACTTGAGAGAGACCTCATTGTCAAGCCGCCAGCCTGTAACTACTCGAGCCACATGTTCGACACACATCGGCAGCCCAGCCGCTCAGAACGGACATGAATGGACGCCCGTTTTCGCGTTTCAGCATCCAACCTGTCTATCTTACGCTGCCCAGCACTTGTTGCATTAGTGTTTTTTTGGAATTGGCCTTTTGGTGGCGGTTCGAAGTATAAGGTCCGGGCTCTAGCCGACGGTATGTCTCAGACCTGCAAGTTTGGAGAGTCATCACACCGCCCTCACACCCACGTCAAGCCAGCCGAAACAGACGCCGCGCCCTTCTCGCCCTCGGTGATCCTCGGCGAAAGCCTACCCTTACGCGAAGCCCGGCTCGTTAAATCTAATTGCTTCTGATTCCTGTACACGCCTGTACGCCAAGTCGCGCAACCTCTGGGAAGCAGTCGCTTGAAAGTGAACATTGACATGCAAACACTCCTCGGTTCCACCGCCTTCCCAGCGCCTCCCGCTGCTGCCTACGTTTTCTTCCCTCATCCTGGAAAAGCCCTTTGCTTCGCCGTCTTGCTAGCTTCAGGTGGCGGTGCTCCTGAGGGATCTGTACAAGCACTACAGGTCTCGCTGCTCACTGCAGTACTTGAGAAAGGTTTCTGGGGGCAAGCGAGCCTGGCAGCACCGGCCAGGCGGTATGCTCGATCCAAGGGCATGGAGCCGCCAGATGCAGGAAGCTTACTGCCCGAAAAACATGGCAAAGCAATGAGATGCAACTTCGGCTTCCAAGATCTTCTCCGGGTACCACGGGCTTCTATGGGCTTAGCAGCTAGGAGTTCAGAAGCTGGTGGGTTTGGGGACCAGGCTTTTTCGAGCAGTGCGCTTGTTAGCGCCTGGCCAACCTGGGACCCCCTATTTACCTACAGATGAGGAGTAAGTACCCCCTATCTAGTAGGTATAGCCCAATAAAAATCTGTAGGTACATAGGGCCCCAGGAAGTTTATCGAACTGCCATGCCACCCATGCTCCCCCCTTGTCCTGAACCCTGAACCTTGAATCCTGAAACCCGAACCCTGAACCCTGAACCCTGAACCCTGAACCCCGAACCCTAACCCCTTCCCCTTATTGTGACTGCTTCAGGTGCGCTTGAACGTAGAGGAAGTCCGGCGTGATGACTTGCGCCTTGACCAGCTGCAAGCGAAGGTTCGCCCGAAACCAGTACAAAAAAGTAATAACATAGGAGTATAACAGTGAAATGACGGAATAATGCAATAATATGATAATCCAACAATACCATAATTAGCTGGTCGGTGCATCGCGGCGGAAGTTACTTTCTAGAGTGTCCACCTTGGGAGGTAGTGAAAACGCCCGAGCAGCGCACCCCTTAGTCTGTGTCGGTCAGCACACTCAGACACCTCGACAGAACATGCTTTTGGGTTGCAACTGTAGGCGGGAGCAAGATCGTCAATTGAAGATGGAGCGCCGCGAGCGTGAGCGGGAGAATGACCGCAAGAAGCTGGGCACAGGCCGGGCAGATTCTTGCGCTGCCGACGATGTCATGTGCAGATTCTGCTTCATTTGGTAACATGTGTGTCGGGCACGATGCTTTCCGCATGTTGGGCCAAGCACCTCAGTAGCACGTTTCTGGTGTCTACTGCTTGTCGCGCCATGGTGTCCTCAACACAGCTGCTCACATATGGGTCTCTGGTGGCTGTGGCCATCGCCTTCGTTGCAGCACGCTGGTCGCAATGGGCAGAGCTGGAAGCAGCGGTGGATGACTTTGCCGCCCAGCTTTTCGAATATCTGAAGACGGACGCCGTGGCCTTCGCTCTCCCAGCTGCTTATGCCCGCTGGGTGCTGCCCGCCCCATGGGCCAAGCCAGAGCCGTGGCCAGTAAAGGTCCTGGCAGCTGGTGCATTGGGAACTGTTGCTCTAATCAGCTTGACAGGCGCCCGCCGGGCCGCAGCCGAAGGTACGTTTCAGGTCTCCGACTTTGCAAATCTATTTGTCTTGCACATCGGATCGTACTCGGTGGCACCACTCTTGGCGAGGGAGTGGCTCCCTTTGATTTCTGTTGTAGTTATAGTGCTCGTGTTGTTGACAGGGCTTCACACCGAGATGGTGCTTGAGACCGTGCAGGCAGTGACTGCTTTGTTTGCTGCGTATGTCGCTCATGACCGCTTTGGCTTGCGCTGGCATTCATTTTTGCTTGTTGGTGTTGGCGGGGCTGTTTTGGTACCGTACTTGGCCTCTGTCTTCAAGTCGCTGCTACCTTTTCATGAGCTGGTGGCAGCATACCATACTGTTGAGGGCATCGTTGGCACTCGTCGGTTTGAAGAGGAGGTCTGTGAGCTCCTTGTTGTGACTGCCTACGTCCAAGTCTCCTTAGGATATGTGGGCATCTGGTACATGCGCCATGGGCAAGCGCGGACAAACCTTTTACTGGATGTTGCTGATGGGAAGCTGGAGGCATGGAGTTTTCTCCAGCACGTGGGCGAGTACATGTGGGCAGTGGCTGCTCCGTACATGATGCAGCGTACAATCATGGAGACTGCAAACGCGCTGTCGCTTTATGCTTTTCTTTGCAAGGTCGACCAGCATGTTCGTGTGGACACCTTTTTCTCGGGTGGCGACTTCGCATACAATCGCTTAGAGGTCGCTCTTGAATCTGATCATACTGTGGAAGCTTATGCTGAATCTGTGACTGAGCTGATGTCGGACTGCTATTCGATCATCGAGAAGAAGCTTTTTGGATTTCCTAACATCCTGCTCATGTCAGACACCCTGCTACGCCAGCCGGCGCTTATGATGGCGGTTCTTCCCGTGAGCATTGGGCTTGACTTTGGCCGGGCACGGGCCTTCGCAATTTTAACTTCGAACATTGAACGACTCACCAAGCACTTGCGCACCCGAATGTCCAGGAGGAAGAAAATCGAGGAGCATGACGTGAAGCACGCAGAGACCATAAGCCGCACAGGTTCCGCTTCTTTGGTGGCAAGTCGCTGGGAGGATCTGGCAGGAGAAATCTTCCAGCTTACAGCGTGGAGGAAGTGTTTGGTCTCATCTCGGCTTTACTTGAACTGGATCTATTACCAGAACATTGTGGGCGTGGGCATCGAGCGCCTTGGGGGTTGGGAAACACGTGAACCTCAAATTGGGACGGCGTTTTATGTACACACACACACACATATATATATATATCTATAGATACAGATATATTCCCACCCGAATGTGTATTCTTTCAATAATTCTACAGGCGCATATAAATAAATACATATATATATATACATAGACATACACACCCCTAAAGTAACGTCTGACATCGGAAACACGAGCGTTCCCAGCCCGGGCTACGTGAATAAGAACTTGAACGGCTATATTAGTTGCTGTTCAAGATGCATGGCTTGAAGATTGAAATTTCCAGGAAGTGGTTGCATGGACATCTAGCCATTCCGTAGTCCGAAGCCCGATGGTTGAATGATTATTGGCACCATAGGCTTTGGATCATGGAACCACACCTTCCCATTCTGGGTGGAAGAGATTGGTTTAATGTTGTAGTGGCTTACTTGCTTAATGGCATCATGGTTTAGCGGTGGAGCAGTTAGTCTTTTTTGTTTTTTGTGGCTTGATGGCTTAATGGCTCAGTCAGCCTGACAAGCAAAAAACAACCTAAACCCAAAGCCCAAAACGCCCAAAACCCAAACCCTAAACCCTAAACGTGGCCCGCTTCCATAGCCTTGAGGACCTACGGGTACATGGCCACCCAGCCATTCTGTAGGTCGAAACCTGATGTATAGACGATGTGACTCCCTACAGGGTTTAGGGTTTTGGGTTTTGGGTTTAGGGAGGATACATGGACCACAAGCCCTTTCAGAGGGTTCATGTAGATCCTAAGGTGTGCCATGGCGCGGATGATGGAGTTGGGCTCAATCTCAGCCGCGGACCTGGGGGTTTATGCGTCTGTTATCGAGGATTCCATCGACTTCTTGCTGACGCGATACAGAGAGGCCTTGCTCTAAGGGCCTTGTGCTTTAGAGTTTTTTCTGAGTGGATTTGTTACCCCCCCTTATGCAGGATCTTGCAGGCCAAGTAGTCAGGCCACTTCATGTTAGAAGATGGAGGCGTGCAAGTGTGTGCCGAGTGTTGAAGGACGCCCGCTTGGCGCAGATGTCAACGAACCAAGAGCGCCTGCTTGAACTCCACACCCGGCTGGCCACATTCCGGCAGAGGCCGGCCTCTGCACTTGCTGCAGTTGCTGATGCCAATAGGGACCTTAAATTAAGAACAACCCCCAAGTGCAGTAGACACATGTTCTATAATGAAGCCGGTATGGAACCCCAAGGTTGCAAGAATCTCGTGGCTCCGCTACTGATGGCTACTGCACGTTTCGGTCGGATGAAGGCAGCAGCTCACGCGGTCATGTAAACCTCCGGAAGAGTGCGCCAGTGGCAACCATTAGCTGCTCATGGCAGGCAATCTCATGTTCAAGGACTTGACCTACCACCGGAATCTATATCCCCCTTGGGAATTATTTCTATTTTTGGTCATATAAAACCCAAGAGGATATTAAGAATACTATTTTTTATATTAAGGTTCTAAAGGGAGTACAGGAACGGCACTGCGCGTGTCAAGCTGGACCTCGAGTTGAAGCAGGGCAAGGTTTATGCCGTCACGGGACCAAATGGTGCTGGCGCCGCGGCGGGAGCTTGAGGTTGCGTGTGGCTTCATCAAGGGTTTAGGGTTTAGGGTTTAGGGTTTAGGCCGTGTAGGCTCAGGAACTCTGGTGCTTTTTTGTTGGGTGGCTGTGAGCAGTTTTGTGCCACAGAGGCAAGAGTACCCTGTCGCACAGCTGCAACTTGAGAGCTCCCGCGTTGTTCTGGCCAGCGCAGTACTTGCTGTAGAGATGACGACCCCGGCCAGAGTTCGGAGGAGCAGGATCCCTAAACCCTAAACCCTAAACCCTAAACCCTAAACCCTAAACCCTAAACCCTAAACCCTAAACCCTAAACCTTGATGATGCCTCAGGTTCGCCATGCTGTCAGCCTGCGCACAGAGAATGCCTTTACCCAGCGGACTGATGGTGGAGGGCAGCATGGATTCTTGTTCTGCATATCCTGACCAGCTTTTAGTGACGGCGCAATGAGATTTTGCACATGCGCATGGATATGTGTTCATGTCACTGTCACGCGGCTGGCAGGTTATGCCTCTGGGCGAGCTTGCCGAAGTTCCACAAAGGTCTAACGGGGAACCTGCATGGTCTAGCTTGCTGCATGCTGTGTTCTGAGTGGGCGCAGGCCATACCATCCGTTCCACGTACAGCCGCTGGCGTGGCTCCTGAACGAAGCAAGCCTTGCCGCACTTTCTTCTGAAGAGCTTGACCGCCACGAGGCTCGCGCGGACACTGGCCTGCACAAGAATTGCAGCGAAAACGGATAAATAATCCCCAAACTCTGAACCCTGAACCCTAAACCCTAAACCCTAAATCCGCATCCCAGGTGCAGGTTTCGGCAAGGCTTGGCTTCAAGTCCTCTCAGGCCTTCGAAGCGCGCAGACTTGTAAGAGCTTGGTAACTTGTATACAAACCAGACCATCCGGGTTTGCACGGGGATGGCTGGCGGGGGGAAAGGACTTTAATCTGAGAAGCTATTTCCCAACATGTTTGTGAGCCGTGAGCCTCTAAGTCGATGCCATGTGCACTGGAGGAGTCCGACGCGCAAGGCCTCACCACGGAGGAGCTGCGACAGGAGAGGAAGGCACCATGGCATCCATTTTCAGACCCTGGGCTCCCGCGTTCCATTTCCAAAAAAATTTCAGGCTGCGAGCTGGGAATTTTGAGGGGTTTAGGGTTTAGGGTTACGGTTTAGGGGTTAGGGTTTAGGGTTTAGGGTGTAGGGTTTCATTTGGTTTTATCAGGGTGGGCGTCAGAGTCTCATCTTGGCCAGAGGAGGGAGCCCCTTCTTGACATTGACCTCGCGCACCCTTCCCACCTAAAAGTGGGCTCGATATTGAGACATGCGTTGGCCGGCACGAGAGGTATCGCTAGAGGCTCCCAATCGCTAGACATGCCAGCTTATCGTAGCCAACTACTCGACTTTGCCGCTGCTTTGCTTGCTTCTGATTGCGAAGAAGGTTTCCCAGGCTGCAAGCCTCCTGACACCCGGGCCCCAGCGGGCTGTTGTTTGCGGCAGAGCATTCTGGGCAAACTCGCGCCATCCAAGTCTAAATGGTCAGCCCCCCCCCCCATGATCCACACCTATGGTTTTCCTGTCTTCGTCTTTGTCTGATTTTCTGTTTTTTCACCGGAAAAATGCAGTAAAAACTGCACTGGAATACAAAAAGCTCTATTATATTATCCTCTATAAAAACACTAGTGTTTTTATGTGCATTTTGCTTCTGAAACTTGTGTTATGCGGCTCTATAAAATTTTAGAAGGGTAGCCATTTAGAAGCTTAAGGCTTTTCAGGGTTGGTTTTAGGTTTTAGGGGTTTGTAAAAATTTAGATGATCTGTGGAAGGCACCGGGGCTTCCCTAGACCATTTGCAATTTTAAAGATCCTTAAAAGGGGCAGCCCTTTTCAAATTTGAAGGGCTTTAAGGTATTTAAAGCCTTTCAAAATTTTCAAGATTTAAAGGATCTTAACAGGCTTTAAAGCCCTTAACAACCTCGAAACGTTTATCCCTTAAAAGCCTAAAATTCTTTAAAATCTAAAACGGGCAGCCGTTTAAAATTAAGGAAGTTACGGATTTTAGAATTGAACATCCTAAAATCTTTAAACTTTAAAAGGACAGCCATTTACAACTGTAAGAATTTCAGGGTTTTACGGATTTTACAAATTTTATATTGTCTGGGGAAGGCACCGGGGCTTCTCCAGACCATTGGCAACTTCAACAATCTCTAAAATCCGCAAAGTGCAGCCACTTAAATACGTAAGCAATTTAAGGTCTTTAAAAGGCTTAAACGGCTTAAAACCTTCATAATCCTGAGAATGCTTAAACAGAAGCTTAAAGATTTTTATAAGATTTTAAGGATTTTTAATGTTTAGGTGGGTCTGGGGAAGCCCCAGTGCCTCCTTCCCCAGATCATGTAAACTTGCAAAAACCCTCAAACCCCTTAACCCTGAAATCCAACCCCGAAACCCTTAGCTCTAAACCCTAAACACTCAGCACCAGACCCTAAACACTAACCCAAAAACTTAACACTAAGCCCTTAGCACAAACCCCAAGCACTTAACATGAAACCCTAAACACTTAAGCACTAGACCCTAAACACGAAACCCTAAACACTCAAACACTACACCCTAAAAACAAAACCCTGAACATTACACACTAAACCCTACACACTAAACCCTGAACACTAGTAAACATCCTTAACACCCTAAATCCAAAAAACCAAACTGAAACCCTTCACACTAAACCCTAAACACTCAGCACTAGACCCTAAACACTACCCCTAAAAACTTAACACCAGGCCCACAAACCCCAAACACTTGACACGAAACCCTAAACACTTAAGCACTACTAAACCCTAAAGACTCAGCACCAGACCCTAAACACTAACCGTAAAAACTTAACACTAAGCCCTTAGCACAAACCCCAAACACTTAACAGGAAACCCTAAACACCTAAGCACCCCTAAAAACTAAACCCTAAACATTACACACTAAACCCTACACACTAAACCCTTAACCCAAAAAAAACCGAAACCCTTAGCACTGAACCCTAAACACCAGCGTAAACACTAACCCTAAAAGCTTAACACTACGCCCTTAGCACGAACCCCAAACACTGAACACGAAACCCTAAACACTTAAGCACTAAACCCTTACTAAACACTAAACCCTAAACACTTAAACACTACACCCTACAAACTAAACCCTAACCATTACACACTAAACCCTACACACTAAACCCTAAAGCCTAAACAGAATGATTTTTTAAGTTGTCAATGGTCTGGGGCAGCCCCGGTGCCTTCCCCAGATCATTTAAATTTGTAAAAATCCTTAAAACCCTTAACCTAAAACCCAAACCCGAAACCCTCAACACTAAACCCTAAACACTAACCCTAAAAACTTAACACTAAGCCCTTAGCACAAACCCCAAACACTTAGCACGAAACCCTAAACATTGAAGCACTTAACCCAAAAACTAAACCTTAAACATTTCAAACTAAACCCTAAACATTAGACACTAAACCCTAAACCCTAAACAGCAAACCCCAAGGCCAGAACCTCGAGCCCTACTAAATCTAAACCTGAAACCAAAAGCCCGTCGGGGTTTCAGATGCTTACTGTTTGGATTTCAGAGTTTAGGGTTTTATTTGGGTTTTAGCCGAGCCGCTTGACCCTCAACCCTAAAACCTAAACTTAACACTCAACCCTAAACACAAAACACTAAACCCTGAAACCTACACACTAAACCCTAAACACTAGATTTCCAGAACAAATCTGGAGTACCCGGGCCCCGGACTCCAGACTCCAGATTTCCAGAAAAAATCTGGAGTACCCGGGCCCCGGACTCCAGACTCCAGATTTCCAGAAAAATCTGGAGTACCCGGGCCCCGGACTCCAGACTCCAGATTTCCAGAAAAAATCTGGAGTACCCGGGCCCCGGACTCCAGACTCCAGATTTCCAGAAAAAATCTGGAGTACCCGGGCCCCGGACTCCAGACTCCAGATTTCCAGAAAAAATCTGGAGTACCCGGGCCCCGGACTCCAGACTCCAGATTTCCAGAAAAAATCTGGAGTACCCGGGCCCCGGACTCCAGACTCCAGATTTCCAGAAAAAATCTGGAGTACCCGGGCCCCGGACTCCAGACTCCAGATTTCCAGAAAAAATCTGGAGTACCGGGCCCCGGACTCCAGATTCCAGAAAAAATCTGGAGTACCCGGGCCCCGGACTCCAGACTCCAGATTTCCAGAAAAAATCTGGAGTACCGGGACCCCAGACTCCAGACTCCAGATTTCCAGAAAAAATCTGGAGTACTCGCGCCCCCACACTCCAGATTACAGACTCCAGAATCTGGAGTCCAGAGTCCCGGTACTCCAGATTTTTTTTTGAAATCTGGAGTCTGGAGTCTGGAGGTACTCCAGTGGGGGTGCGGAAATCTGGAGTCTGGAGTCTGGGGGTACTCCAGATTTTTTCTAGAAATCTGGAGTCTGGAGTCCGGGGCTGGGTACTCCAGATTTTTTCTGGAAATCTGGAGTCTGGAGTCCCCCCCCCTCCCAAAACCCCCTTCCCGAGGCCAAATGTGTGGATCATGGGGAGGGTGCGTGAGGGGTAAGGGGTAGGGAGCTGGGTCCATGAGGGGTAGGTCAAGGGGATGGAGAGTGGGAGCATGAGCCAGAGTGGAGTAGGCGGAGCTGGAAGGGCGGAGGGCGGAGCGGGCGGAGCGGGCGGAGGGCCCGGGCATGCACTGGGGCCCTTAAAGTCAGCTGAGAAGCCACATCCATGGGCCGTGGACCATGAGCCAATGGGGCCAGGAGCCATGGGTCCGGTGGGGGGCGGGGTGCGTGGCGGTGGGGGTGGGGGTTGGAAGTGTGGCAGGGTGCGTGCGGGGTGGGGGTGGAGGTTGGGGGTGGGGGGTGGAGCAGGGGCCATTTTTCGGACCAGCATTGGCAGCCATGCAGGTCGAGGGATGAAGAATGGGACCAGGCGCCATGGGTCCATGAGAAGCATGGCGGGGTGCGTGGGGGGCTTGGGCAAGGGGGGGAGTATGCCAGGACCAGCAGACAATGCCGGTCGAGGGATGAAGAAGGGGACCAGGGAGCCATGGGTACATGCGAAGCATGCGGGGTGCGTGGGGGGCTTGGGGTGGTGGGGGTAGAGCAAGCGGGCCAAGCGGGGGAGGTCGAGGCGATGGAGAGTGGGAGCATGGGCCAAGGGGGGAGTAGGCGGAGCTGGCTTTTAAGTCAGCTGAGAAGCCACATCCATGGGCCGAGCCAATGGGGCCAGGAGCCATGGGTCCAGTGGGGGGCGGGGTGCGTGGGGGGTGGGGGTGGGGGTGGTGGGGGTGGGGGTGGGGGTTGGGGGTGGGGGCCATTGGGCCAGGAGCCATGGGTCCATGACAAGCATGGGCGGCGGGGCAGGGTGCGTGCGGGGTGGGGGGGGTTGGGGGTGAGGGGCCATTTTTCGGACCAGCATTGGCAGCCATGCAGGTCGAGGGATGAAGAATGGGATCAGGAGCCATGGGTCCATGAGAAGCATGGCGGGGTGCGTGGGGGGCTTGGGCAAGGGAGGGAGTATGCGGAGCGGGAAGGATAGAGGTGGTGGGGGTAGGGGTGGAGAAGCCACCTGCTTGGGCCGTGGACGATATTGAATGGGGAGCCATGGGGCCAGGAGCCATGGGTCCATGAGGGGCATGGGTGCGTGAGGGGCAAGGGGGAGGGGGGGTGTGGGGGGGCGTGGGGGGGTCCATGAGGGGTAGGTCAAGGGGATGGAGAGTGGGAGCATGGGCCAGAGGGGAGTAGGCGGAGCTGGAAGGGCGGAGGGCGGAGCAAGCGGAGCAAGCGGAGCGGGCGGAGCGAGAAGCCACATCCATGGGCCGTGGACCATGAGCCAATGGGGCCAGGAGCCATGGGTTCAGTGGGGGGCGGGGTGCATGGGGGGTGGGGGTGGGGGTTGGAAGTGTGGGTGGGTGGGGGTGGGGGTTGGGTGCGTACGGTATGGGTGGGGGTTGCGGGTGGGGGTGGAGCAGCTCAAGGGATGAAGAATGCGACCAGGAGCCATGGGTCCAAGAAAAGCATGGCGGGGTGCGTGGGGGGCTTGGGCAAGGGGAATGTATGCGGAGCGGGAAGGGCGGATGGGCGGGGAGCGGGTGCGTGGGTGGTCGGGGTAGGGGCGGAGGGGAGCCATGGGGCCAGGAGCCATGGGTGCATGAGCTGGAAGGGCGGAGGGCGGAGCGGGCGGAGCGGGCGGAGGGCCCGGACATGCACTGGGGCCTTTAAAGTCGGCTTCTCATCCATGGGCCGTGGACCATGAGCCAATGGGGCCAGGAGCCATGGGTCCAGTGGGGGGCGGGGTGCGTGGGGGGGTGGGGGGGGGGTTGGGGGTTGGGGGTGGCAGGGTGCGTGCGGGGTGGGGTGGGGGTTGGGGGTGGGGGTGGAGCAGGGGCCATTTTTTTGACCAGCATTGGCAGCCATGCAGGTCGAGGGATGAAGAATGGGACCAGGAGCCATGGGTCCATGAGAAGCATGGCGGGGTGCGTGGGGGGCTTGGGCAAGGGGGGAGTATGCTAGGACCAGCATTGGCAGCCATGCAGGTCGAGGGATAAAGAATGGGACCAACACCATGGGTCCATGAGAAGCATGGCGGGGTGCGTGGGGGGCTTGGGCAAGGGGAGAGCGGGAAGGGCGGATGGGCGGGGAACGGTGGTGCGTGGGTGGTGGCTGAGAAGCCACATCCATGGGCCGCGGACCATGAGCCAATGGGGCCAGGAGCCATGGGTCCAGTGGGTGCGTGGGGGGTGGGGGTGGGGGCGGTGGGGGTGGGGGTGGGGGTTGGGGGTGGGGGTGGAGCATGACAAGCGTGGGCGGCGGGGCAGGGTGCATTAGCCCATGCAGGTCGAGGGATGAAGAATGGGACCAGGAGCCATGGGTCCATGAGAAGCATGGCGGGGTGCGTGGGGGGCTTGGGCAAGGGAGGGAGTATGCGGAGCGGGAAGGGTAGAGGTGGTGGGGGTAGGGGCGGAGAAGCCACCTGCTTGGGCCGTGGACCATAATGAATGGGGAGCCATGGGGCCAGGAGCCATGGGTCCATGAGGGGCATGGGTGCGTGAGGGGTAAGGGGTAGGGGGGGTGTGGGGGGGCGTGGGGGGGTCCATGAGGGGTAGGTCAAGGGGATGGAGAGTGGGAGCATGGGCCAGAGGGGAGTAGGCGGAGCTGGAAGGGCGGAGGGCGGAGCAAGCGGAGCAAGCGGAGCGGGCGGAGCCTTTAAAGTCAGCTGAGAAGCCACATCCATGGGCCGTGGACCATGAGCCAATGGGGCCAGGAGCCATGGGTTCAGTGGGGGGCGGTGCGTGGGGGGTGGGGGGGTGGGGGGTGGGGGGCGGTGCGTGGGGGGTGGGGGGGTGGGGGGTGTGGGGGGGGTGTGGGGGGGGGGTGGGGGGGGGGGTGGGGGGGTGTGGGGGGGCGTGGGGTGGTCGGGCATGCACTGGACCCTTTAAACCACCTGAATGGATGGGGTGGGGGGGGGTCAAAGGTCCAATTCAAGGCGTCATGGGTGACGGCGATGGGTGGCGGGGTTTGGGCATGCACTGAAGCCAAACAATGCAAAAACACTCCAATTCAAGGTGTCATGAGCAGCATGCTGTGAGAGCGGGTGAGGGCGGTGAGGGCGGTGGGGGGTCTTCACTGACGCCGCCCTGCTACCGCTGGGGTCGGCGGATATGTATATAGATATATGCATATACTTAATCTTGGAAGCTGCTTCTACGTGGTTTGTTCATTTTCGTAGTATAATTCTATTTTATTGTTTTGCTCTTGCTTGTTTTAGGGTTTTGGGTGTAGGCTTTCGGGCTTGGGGTATAGGGTTTGGCTAGGGCTTCGTGGTAGGGTTATGGGTTCAGAGTTTAGGATAGGGGTTTAGGGTATAGGGTTTGGGTTGCAGGCTTAGGGTTTTAGGGTTTAGGGGCATCTCTCTTTCCGGAGACCAGTTCCAAGGATACACAGACAACACGTGCCTACCAAGCAATTCACAACCACCGCAAGGGTCTGCTGTGAGTGTGGGGCTCTGGGGGGGAGGGATTTTGGGCACTCCTGGCATGCTCTGGGATTCTTTGGACTGCATGTGGACTCGGCCACAAGGAGGCAGACTCGAAAAACCCAGAGACGCCCCACCTTTCAACCGGGATCTACTTCCCGACACACCCCTGGACACCCTGCATGTGCTTTCGTCCCTGAGTGGGCGTTGAGATAAGTCCTCTACTGGCCACGACTGGAAGGAACTGGGCCGACTCTTGCTGCCTCCGCTGCTGAATTTGCCCGACACTGAGCGGCTTAATTCATGCACATCAGTTTGCCCACCCAGTCACTTGTCACAGTGCACTTAGCCAACCCCACATTCTAAGAAACGTCCCAAAACTACGTCCCAAAACTACGTCCAACATCTTCAAGAAGTCTGAAAATAAAAGCCGCCCCCGGCTCTTCGGAGCAAAGCATCAGGTTGGACGTGAACGGCCTCTCCCTGGCGCATCTGGGCCGCCTTAAAGGTGTTTCGGTCTTTGCGCCTTAGCGGGGGGGGGTTTAAGCCCAGGAACACGGTGCTCAGCTTCATCCCCAACACCTCGGAGCTCGCCTTCCTGGGCTTGGCAAAGCAGGCCTTGAAGAGCCGAAGAGTGGGCGGGCGGGGGGGGGGTAAGGTGGCCGAATTCTTGTTTTTTTTGGGGGTCTGAGAGGGGCGCTACTGCCAGCAACTAGCCGAAACCGTGAGGCTCGAAGTAGCGACTTCTCTCAGGTTGGGCCCTGTAGGTGCCCTAAACTCCTCCAACCAAAAGACGAGCAAGAGAGCGCAGATTCGAGTTCAGAGGATGCAGCGAAGCGCTGTCGCTTGAACTTGTGAGTCCAACGCTGCCTCCAGGCCCAGGATCACTTGGACCGCCAGAAGGCTGAACTGGTCAAGGCCGTTTCGAGTTTTTGGAGGGTTTGAGTCATTCGGGCCAGGGGCTTTTAGTGGTTCAAGGTTTTGGGGGCTGAAGGGGGATCAAGGGGTTGGGCTGTTACCGACTCCATGTGCAGCGTACATCAATACCGGCGCCTGATGAGTTCCTGAGCTCGTGGATTCCGCAGTGCGACCATGAGTCAAACTACCTTTCAAACGAGTTTCAGTAACAATCTAAGCTGTAAGCCCCGCTGTTAGACGCTGTAAGCCTTGTGAACGCGCCAATCACAGCGAACCCTGTAAAAACCCTCAGGGCTCACGAAGCGCAGGCGATGGGCCAAAACGGCAGCGCGGTGAAAATCGACGAGGCGAAGCTCCACGAGCTGCTCAGCGCCAAGGCGCCAAGAGTCCTGGAGCTTTCTGCGCAAAGGATGTGCACCATTTCGCACCATTCAGACACCTCCAGCCTTGAGCGGCCTCACTCGAAAGACATTCCCTGTGGCAGAAGGTGCGCACTGAGAAAGTGGTTCACAAGGATGCGAAGATCAGGACCTTCATCCAGGAGGACGCGTTGCGTGCCCCAGAACGCCTCAGAACAACACAACTCCGAGAAGCCTACTGTGCTCACCCTACTCCCTCAGCCTTGAGCTGTGCCCGAGGCTGCCCGAGTTCGCGGCATTATTCTGTCAAATGGAGAACGGGTCGACTGTAGATTCGGAGGACTCCTCCCGCGAGCACCTGACGATGCATGCCTACGACATCCACTACGGAACGGTGCGGCGGGGGCAGGCCAGCATCATGGGGATCACAACGATCACAACAACCGCTTTTAAACACAAGAGGCTGTCAACATTTCTAAGGTAAACTCTCAATCCGAACCATCTGAGGATGCCGTGGTTGCCTTGGACGACTCCATCGTCCGCGGCAACACCTTGAAGAATGCCATCTTGAGGACTGGGATTGGTCTTGGGATTAGGGTGATTTCTGCAAACTGAAACCAGAGTGTGACACTCCCCCGCAACTCCCCGAAGCGACCCGAAGCTCCCTGAGCCCTTGAATCTGTGAGCCCGTGAGCCTGCGAGCCCATGCACAGGACGTTGGACAAGATGGGGCCCACGCAAATCATCGTAGTGCCAGGCACCAAGAGAGCATCCTGCAGGATTCGAAAATTCGAGAGCGCGATGTAGAAGAGGAAGCTGACAAAACTGAGGGAAAGAGGTCTCTGAGAGAGCGCGCATCGCTTGAGCTGAGGTCCAGCTGCCCACAAATCCGATACCCGGACGTGTACGGCATTGTCGGGGCCCTGTTTCGCCGGGCTCCAGCTGTCGGATCTCCGGGGTCTGCTGGACCGGAGAAGTTGCTGTAAAAATCGATTAGAGACTTGGCTTCCAGCCGCCTTGGTGCCGTGCAACGTCAGCCTTTGAAAGGGTGTTCGGCCAGCAGTCTACAGAGTATGGGAATATACGTAGCAATTTATCTGTCAACGTTTTTTCCCTAAGGCACGCAACTCTGCCAGCGTACACAACCACCTGAACTGCTCTGAAGTGCCCAGAAGCCCTTGAGTTGGCAGAAAGTGCCTCGAAGATGCTGAGGCTTCGGAGGTTCTTTTTGAGATTCGCCCCCCCCCCCCCCCCCCCCACCCACCCCGCCGGACTCTGTCGCCAGAGTCGCCTGCCCCCCTCCCCCTCCCTGCCTCTCCACCCTTTCAGGACATGGCCAAGCTGGGAGACCTCGCGGCCTTCAAAGCCGCCCTGCCCTCGGCCCCGTTGCCCGATGTTGCCCATTCAGCGGGCTTACTGCTCGGGTGAAGGTGATTTGGGATTCCGGGGGAACAAGTACACTATTCCGTTTGGGCCAGACTGTCTGCTGCCTGGTGTGGAGCATCCTGACCCCCTGCCCTCTTGCGTTATAGGCCGCAACACAATGTTTTCAGCATCAACAAAGCATCTTCAGGATCAAGAATGCTATTTCAGCATCAAGATAGGACCATCCCAGAGGTGGGAAGGAAGGAAGGGGAGGGAAGGGAAGGAAGAAGGGCAGTGCGCTTGGCAGCGCATCATGCCGTCGAAAGCAAATGCTGGGGCGGGCTGCCACCCCCCACTGTTAAGTCAGGCAAGTTTTCTTTTAAGAACATCACGCTGTCGGGAGGACTTGCTCATAGGAGCATTGTTTTGCAAATAGGATGCACCCGCCCTCTCCCCCACCCATTTTAAGCCAGGGTCGCTTTTAAGAACATCATGCCGTCTCCTGCTCGAAGCCAAAAGGTTTGCTGATCCCGGTGAACATCGGCTGACAGCCAAGTTTCCATCAATCAACATGACATGCATACCTTCAGGCCATTGGCCTGCTGAAAGAGAGGCGCGGGGCAGGGCGGAAGGATATCTGTAGCTGACAGCGTGGTGCCCTTCATGTGACCTTGGCTTCACGCAGCGTGGCGCCAGGGGCAAGGAGCACATTGTCAACGAAGTCTACCGCTTGTGCCGCGAAGAGCTTAAGGCTTCCTGGTGTGTTGCTGTCGTGTAGTCCAACCAGGTAGGTGACTCTGAGATCTGCGTTTGATGGTGGCCATGTCGGCACGAAATTTTCTTACGTCTTACCTCCCGCTAGTTGCAACATGAGAGCCCTTCGCATCCTGGTTTAGCACTGCATGCCGGCTGGTAGTGGAACAGATTCCTGGCAGGTGCACAAATCCAGTTTCAAAATATGTTGCAGTTTCACCCCCCCTAAACCTGAACGCAGTGCTTCATCAACCGCTTACACCTTGGGTTGGCGGAGGCCCCGCTGAGCTCTGGCACGACGGTGAACCACGCGATTGCCTCAGGATGCCTCAGATAGCCTCAGATTGCCTCAGGATGCCTCAGATTGCGTCAAGTTGGGTCTGGACTACTGACAGAGACTTCACAGAGACTTGCCCTCGGTCGAGACTTCTGCGCAAGTTGCTCAGTCCCCTCAGGTGCAGAAGATCTACGAGTCCTTTACTCCAGAGGAGATCTCGCTGCGCATCGCCCAGGACGCCAGGCACCCAACGAGCCACAGGCCACACGCTGGAGAAGAGACCCATGCCTGTGACAAGTCAAAAACAAAAAGATCAAAAAGGGGCATTCGCGGGTCCGTCCGAGGTGCGACCCGAGGACTGCAAGGCCAAGGTCCACATCCTGTACCAGAGCGTGGAGGAGCGGGTTCGGGTTGGGCCAGAAAGAGCTCTTGGCGTCTTGGCTTCGCCATCGGCCCACAATGCGAACACCTCCAGGCCCAAGGCCTCTCGAAACCTTCAAAAAACAGTACAACTTGTGAACGAAAGCAGGGCGCCCAGGCAGATCGAACTGAAGATCCCTAAGATCCCCAAAAGCTTTGCCGGCTTTGCTCAGGACCTCCACCGTGCGCTGCCACACCACAGCGGCGACTGGAAGCTCGGCGTTGCGTTTCAGAGCGGTGGGAGCGTGATGCCTTTTTCATACACCAACGCTTCAAGTATGCGGGGCTCCCGCTAAGCGGCTTGAGCTAGGCCCAGCCTGAAGAAGATTTGGCTTATTTGGGCCTAGCATTGGCCTTACCTTAACATCGGAAGTTGAGCTCAGCCCCGACAGATAGGGCCGATTCGCTGATGGGGTAACCCGGGTAGGGATGCCAGATCTTTGTTAAAAGGGCACCGTCGTTCGCTGAGGGGATCCTCGGTTTGATGAACAATTCTTTCACCCTTTTTGGGCATGAGCTGCCCCAGCGCGCAGTCTCCCAACATCCCAGTGAGCAAGTTTCGGCATAGAAGCTGCAGCAGCTGTTTTGGTGCCACGTGGGGCTTTTGACTTGTCATTCCGAGACGCTCAGTGTGTGCGTGAGAGAGAGTGGGTGACACCACATCCGGCTGCGCCGCTTCTTCACTTGAGGTACTTCACCGGCGACTATCCCACACCCGGAGGCAACATTTGGAGTCATTTGAATGTCATTTGATCATCTGAACCTCAGAATCGGCATCTTCATTTCCCACCCAAGGTGGAGATGCCGGTTTCGGGATGTGAGGGCACTGGAGTTTCGGATTGCTCCGTAGGCCTCAACACAGGAATCAGCACTTTCTTGCGCGAGCCACTTGCAGGTCCATGCAAACATGTAATCTAGGGCTCTAGGAGCACTCCAAAAACCCCGAAAGCCCCAAACGAATCATCGCCCAAACTCCCCACCCCCCCCTCAAACCCCCAAATGTCCCCCCAAACCCCTCACAAGCCCTGAAGGGGCAACTTCCTTTTGTGTAGAGGAGCCCGGGTTTGCTGCCGCGCCTTCGCCCTATGGATGGAGGGAAGCAGCCGCGGGCTAAGCTCTCATGTCAGAGAGATGCCTCTGACATAGTAGCCTTGTCAGAGAAAGATGGTTTTTTTTTACAGTGCTACAGAGATCATTCGGCACAGCATCCGGAAGAACGATCAGCGTTCTACGGGATGCAGGGAGTACCCAGGTTTCACAGGGATAACAGATCGCACCAGCTCGCTAGACTTCTGCCGTTCGCAGTAGCTTTCAGCACACCTTTGGGTTCAGGGTTCAGGTGGGCTTGAACCTAATATTCCACATCTGAGGCAAGGCCTAGTCCCCTGCTTTGGTCCTGACACTTGGAAGCCAAAACCCACTTTTTTTCTCAACTGCAGAACTTGCAGAAGTCAGGCCAGCGATGCTACGGAATCAACTCGGCGGGCGACCCGGTACTCGGGTTTAGCAGCGGGGGGTTTGGAGGGCAGGGTAAGCATGACTGATGAGGTGGGTTCTGTTAGTCGGTTTGACTGAGAAGGGAGGCCCGGGAGAAACTTTAATCAGCTGGCACATGTTGGCACTTTTCTTTCCTCGAGGCCTTGTCCTTCCTTCGCGCGCGCCGGCCGGTGCTGGTGCTAGGCTGAATCCGAAGAGTCCCAACGAGAGTCCCAACGAACCTGGGGTTCAGGATGGTCCGATGGTCCGGGCTTCCCGATGCAAAAGTCATGTCGGGGGAACTGAAACTTCGTGGATTGCGGCTTGGTGAAGCGCAAACCTTCTCACTCCCGCCTTCTTCCTTTCGCAGGCTCGGGTGCACGGGAGCACGCCCTGGCCTGGAAGCTGAGCAAGAGCCCCGAGGCAGCGGCTTCTGGTCTAAGGACTCGAAGGCTTAAGAAAAGGCGGTTTGGAGGTAGCCATGTTTGTCAAGGAGTTCCCTTTTTCGCCTTACCACTTGCGTGCGCTTACCGTTGACCAAGAAATCCCAACCGCTCGCGAGCCACTCACGAAACCAGCCGTAAGCTCTTACAGGCCGTTTCTTGCACTGATAGACACGTGGTTTCTGCGATCTGGGGGGTGGGGGGGGAGGGTTTCGCTGTGGCTTTCTTGGGTTTTTGTGGCTTCAGGGCTTCCTCAAGGTTTCGGCAAAAACTTCGTCGCAGGGCTGCGAGCAGGTGCTTTCATTGGAAGCACAGAAGTGCATGTACCCGTTTGGCAAACATTGAACCGTAAACCCTACAAGCGTTATTGCCTTCAAGACCTTCAGGTTCAATCGTGAGGGCTTGAGGTTTAGGAAGAACCTGCGAGCCCCCTGGCTATGTTGAAGTGCCCGTGAACTTCTGCGTAGAGGACCAGGGCCGTTCCTCAGGTTTACAGCCCTACCTCCGAAGCGCTCAACGGCCCAGGCCCAAAATCAGACATGAAGCGGCACAGCAGAACTCGCAACTGCAGCTTTGGGAGGTCAGCGTCGTTTTCGTGGGCCCCGGGAACGGGGGTATTGGCAACTCCTACGGCCAGGCGGATCTGAGGGCTCGCTGTTTGCAGTATGCTGCAGTTGTGAGATCGTGAGGTTTCGTGAGTCGCCTTGGAAGAGCAGAAGCAGCATACAGCAGCTAAGTCAGCAGCTTTCGGTTGGTGCTCAGGCACCAGAATACCCCACGCACCTGAACCCAGGCATAGTCAAATGCAGCCCAACAACTTCAGAGATTCAGAGGCCGAGCCCTTCGATTCTTCGCCGATGGTCAACGTGGACGTGGCCATTTCGGCCGCGGGCACGGAGTTGTCCCTTCAGTGAGCAATGTGGCTTTGGAGTCAGGCGACATCTTCAAACACATCCGAAAGGAGGTGCTAGCCAGGATTAGTACAATTGTACAATGTAGTACGTTGTCGTGGGAGAGATTCTTGAACCCTAATCCCTGGACTGTGCCTTCTAGCAAGCCTGCCATCACAACAGGTTTCTGAGGGACCTTAAGGCTTGGCAACTCGGAGCAACGCGGTACTTTTGGCTCAGACTCTGGACTCTGCTGCCCCAAGCCCCCAAGCGGCCCAACACTTGAATACCAAAATTAGGCTTAGGGGCTAATTTAATGTACCGTTCAAGCGTTGATTCTGCAATGTTTCACCCGTGCTGAGTTAGTAGGCGTGGCAAGACGCTGCCTGCACGTCCGAGCGCATGGGTTCTGCAGGGAGCATCGACAAGGACTGAAGCAAACCCAAACTTGCAGCACCAGTGTGGTGGCACTGACGGTGCAGGCATGCTCGAACTCGAATGAGAAAAGCCCGACGTGCTGATTTCCGAATGCCAGAAGATTGCTGCGAAGCAATTTCCGCAAGTCCGTCTTAGGACCCAGAGCGCTTCGGGCCCCCTTAGAGGCTTGAAACCACGAGTCCTTCCCCCGCAACCCTCAACTGCATCATGGTGCAGAGCTCGCTTGTCCCAGCGAAAGGCAAAAACGCAAAGTGCATCAAAGTGCCTCAAAGTGCCTCAAAGTGCCCGCAGCCCACAGCCGGTCCGAAGGACAGCCGCGATGCGTACAAGCGCCATCTGTACTCGGCTCGCCGCTGATTGGGATGGGGTGTGCTGTGCCATTCATGGTCGAGGGATGTGGAGCTGGTCAAATGCCCAGTTGTGCGGTTCTGGCGCACAGAGGTTGACACGGGAAGGGTCTTCTTTGCGAGCAGCGATTCTGAGGGAATCCGGTCCTGAATCGCAAACCACCTAAAGGCCTAAATGCCAGAAAACCTCTTAAAGCTTTGAGGCACCAAGCTCTGAGCATCTCTGAACCCTGTGCCGGCAAGGGAGCATCGTTGCATCGCCTTGCCCCACACCCTTGCCTGTACCGAAGAACTCTACTTGGCGAGGGCGTGGCGGCCAACCAGGGCAACACGGCGGAGGCCCATGCAAGCCTCGCCAAAGCGGACGCCCATGTTAGCGAGGGCCGCCCGTAGACCGAGCTGCATGCCGCACGAAACTCTCAGCTTATTCAAAATTTCAAGACTTGCAACAGTTGGACCAGGGTAGATTGCTGAAGAATTGAGGACCCTAATCACTTAATCCAAACGTTTCAAAACCATCCTTGCCTTGAAGCCTTGAAGCTTTTCGCCAAGAGCACCTTTTTGGAAGGCGCCAGGCGCCAGTGCCTTCTCCGTGACCCTTGCGCTGCTCAGCGGCCAGGAGTGGGGATTGGGAACTTGGTTTCGACTTTGGATGAGTTCGGTGTTGAGTTTAGACCGTGCCTTGGGAAGCCCAAACACAACGGGGTTGCCCGCAGGCTAAGAACAATCGCGTGCGACAGGAGGTCAAGATTGCAACATCGCCGGATGCCACGGTGGAAGAGGTGAAGTCGCTGGCACCAAAGGACCTTTCAGTCTTAACATGTCTTAACCTGGGCTTGCGTGAAGTGTTAGGTGACCAAAGGTCCAGGCCCAACTGGCGTGCTCCTGTACTTTCCGTACTTAGAGGTTTGCTCTCCCACAGAATCCCTGAATCCCACCCACGCAAATCCGCGCAGCGTGGGTCCTTGGAGGTCTCGGCTTTGGTTGTTTTGGCTTTTGCCTCCCGTCCCAGGACTTCGGCAGCATCACCTCCCTGATTTGCGGAGGGCGGATCCTCGAAGACTTCCGGACACTGCGTGAAGCTGGCGTGCAGGAGAGTAGGGAGTCCGAACAAAGTGTTTCTTTCGATGGGCTTGAAAGCTGTCGAGGTTTCTGGGTTCCACCCAAGACTGGTGTGAATGAAACACCTCAGTTACGGCTCTATCGACCCACCGACAATCCAACAACTCGAACCCCCCCCGGCACAAACAACGTCTGAGCCTCATCGACTTGGCGCATATTCTTCCGAGATGTTTGTGCCACCAGCTGTTGCATCCGTCTGAGATCGCTTCCGATTTCCTCCACCCTTGGCAGCTGGCTCTCGCAAGGCGTTTAACCAAAGTTTGATCCCCCTCGCCCAAGAGGCCATTCAATAAGCTTGAATTTATTATGGGCCCTTGCCACATGAAACCTCCCTCAAAAGCGGGTTGTGAGAACACACATCAAGAAGCTCACTGCATTTCGTCGATTTGGACGTTGTTTTGCTTCATGGATTCCTTTACGAATTCTGCCGATTCTTGTTCTTTTAGTCTTTTGCAAAGGGCCCCTATATACTGTATTTATAAGCCTTGTTCTGGCCCTCCAACTCCATTTTAGTATTGCTTCTGATTTCAAGATCCATCCGGGCGCACATGTCTATCTTTTGATGCACCCTTACTAGTAT